TTGAGGAGATATATATACACACATACAGAGAGCATGAACAGGTGGGAGTTGTCTTACCGACTCTGAGAGGCCAATTAAGTAAGTGAAAAAAAACTTTTGAAGTGATAATCAAGCTAGCCCAGTACAAACAGTTTGATAAGAAGTGTGAGAATACTTACAAGGGGAGATAGATTCAATGTTTGTAATGGCTCAGCCATTCCCAGTCCTTATTCAATCCTAAATTGATTGTACCTAGTTTGCATATCAATTCCAGCTCAGCAGTCTCTCGTTGGAGTCTGTTTTTGAAGTTTTTCTTTTGTAAGATAGCCACCCGCAGGTCTATTATCACCAGAAAATGCCTATTAGGGTGTTGTGCCCAACTACTGCACCCATCATGCTCACCTGCTACCCCCACACATTCCATCTACTGGACCCATTGTGTGTCCCTAACCCAGCCATTATCATTACTTATTATTTTGTAGCGCCCAAAAGTGTGTTTTGCACTTCCCTGAAACAAGTACAGACACAGACCTTGCCCCAAGCAGCTACTGATCCTAGCCCTTGTCTACACTAGGGATTTCTCTTGGTTCCAACCATTTGTGTCTTTCACTACCATGTTTTCCTTTTGACAGACTTAAAGCATTTCTCAGCATGGATCCATGTAGGGTATGTCTCCACTGCACACTAAGCCTGGGTCTGTGGGATCCAGTGTTTCCAAACCTGCACTTGAGCATCCATACTGCACTGTAAACCTGGGTTTATAATTGCTGGACCCGGGTTTCTCAGCCACGCTAACACATCCATACCACACTACACAGACCTTTTTACTTGGGCCTGCGTCTTGAGCTGTGTCTACACTGCAAAATGACAGGACTTGGACCTGAGTTGCAGTAGGACTTGGGCTCTGACCCACCTCCCTAGCAGGCAGTACCGGATTTACCATGGCGCTGGGCCCATGGTCCAAAGGGGCCCCAGCCCAGCCCGCTCTTCTCTGCCCTACCCCAGTGGGGGCAGAAGCTTAGTGCTGCCGACTCCTGCTGTAGCAGGGCAGGCTCTGCCAGCAGCCAAGCTCCTCCCCCGCCTCTTTCCCCAGGGTGCTAGGTTCCCTGCTGCTGATCAGCTGCTTGCCGGCAGGAGGGAGGAGGAGGAGCGGAGCCTCAGCACTCTCGCTGCTCCGGGAAGGAGGCGGAGAAGAGGCGGGGGTGGGGCTTTGGGGAAGGGGCTGGAATCAGGGCATACCCCCTCCAGCCCCCTGCTGTGAGCACCCCCATGACCCCAGCCCACACCCACAGCCCTCTGCCCACCCTGACCCCTGCACTCCCCTCACACACCCCCAATCCCCTGCTCTGACCCCTGCACCCCCTCACACACACCCAGCCCCCTGTCCTGACCCCTGCACTCCCCTCACACGTCCCCAGCCCCCTGCCC